AAGTCATAATGTGGTTTGTTTTGGGGTAAGTTTGAATCTGACAATTATGGCTTAGTGTGTAAGATAATCTACATCTCCCAGATTCATGACAAAACATGGTCAGTGGCAACAAGGGCATTGCAGTCTGTCACACACAACTTCAATGGGTGGTGGAAGTACTTTACTTGCTGGATGCCAATCAACATTTGTATTCAACATCTTTGTAATTGTATTTCGTTCAGTCTCTCTTTCTCTTCCTTCCTTCCTTTCTTTCTCTCTCAAGCAAAAGGCCTGTCTTGGTTCTTCAGAATGAAACCCTCTATTCCCAAAGGCGACCGTACACTAGTGAGGATGAAGCCTGGAAGTCCTTTCTTGAAAACCCCCTCACAGCAGCTACCAAAGCCATGATGAGCATCAATGGGGACGAGGACAGTGCAGCTGCTTTGGGCCTCTTGTACGACTACTATAAGGTAGCTCATGGGAGCTTGGGACTGCTTGAATTTAATTCACATTCTTCACGTGGGGGTTAGCAACAGTAAACTGTATGGGTTTCTGTCAAGCTCATGTTACTATTAAGACCTAAATAGTTGAACACTGCACCCTAGAGTCGGAGAGGACTGGACAGAGAAACCTTTAGCTTTACCTACTTTTCTATCCTCCCTAAGGTGATCTCTCTTCAGAACTAACTGTCAGACTGAAGAGAGCTCTTGTAAAGACATTTGTGGATTTATTTCATTTTGATTAAGTCTGGTTAATTTTATTTTACAGTATTTGTATATTAAATCAAAGCAGTGTATATGCATGGTTATTATGTATATGCATGGTTATTATGCATATTGTTTCTGATGTGTCTTCTCTGTAAACTGCCAAGAATCCTTAGGGATTCAGTGATGTAGCCATCATTGTCATCATAATCATCTCATCACCATCACCATCACCTCACCATCACCCTTTTAATAGCCTATTGGACTTGGAGTTTCAACACAGAATTCTTGAACTATATAGACCAACCCTGTAAATTCTATGTTTTGATTATGATAGCTTATGGTTGACTTACAAGCAAACAAAGCACTGCCTACAGTTGAGTCTGTATTTTTCCAGTACTTCTTGACTCACGTAGGACTGCACATAGAACACACTCCTCTGATTTGCCAAGTTGTGCTTAAAGCCATTTTGTACAACAGTCTTGCCTTTTTGACAAATAGTCAGCTGTTTAAGGAGGGTGTTCCCATTGTCATTTATATGGTTTGTGTTTAGCAGACAAAAATGTTTGGATGCAAAGGTGGTGCTGATACAGCAGATTTCCACGCTGGAGGATACTGAGCTAACAAGCAAATTGCTTTGTAAAAAAATGTTGTTGAAGTACAGATAATCTACTTCATGTTTACTAAGGCTGTGATCATCATTCATTTTTATCTTTTTTAGACTCTAGAATTACTACAGTATTTGCATCGTATCTTAACTGCAAATGTTACACTGAAATAGGAGATATAACAAATAGAATGCCTTGGCTATAATCTCCTATTTGATTGATAAAGTAATTCTGAAGTTGTTAGCTTTGAAACAAGACTGATTGTTTTTAACTGATATCTCCAAGCCAAATGCTTATGCTTTTAAAATGTATTAGTGATACAGTGTTTTCCGGTGATTGTTAATATCCTAAAAAACTCTGCTTAGTTATTGTCCTTTTAATAAAACAATTGATACATTTTATATTCCAAGGTTCCCCGGGAAAGGAAAGCTTCTACAGTGAAACCAGATGTAGACCAGTCTGATCAAGATCATGGGAAAAGGTTCAGTATTCAGTTTTGAAATGTACTGTATATATACATGTTTTAAGCCAGGATCAGAAGTGGGATTCTACCAGTTCGCACCTATTTGCTAGAACTGCTTGTTAACATTCTAAGCAGTTTGGAGAACCGGTTGTTAGGAGAAATTACTGGCCTAATCCTGTAAGGAAGGCAGGAAGGAAACATTCTGGTGTTGCTTACAGAAACTGCCTCTCCGTTAACCCTTATTACATTCTTGGCAGGACTAGACTTCCTGTCTCTGGAACTTCTCTGGAGTTTTTTTCCCACTCCTTTGCTGGTATTTTGCTTGTGTGGAGTGACCATTCAAAGTTACAATGGCACTGAAAAAAGTGACTTATGACCATTTTTCACACTTACAACTGTTGCAGCATCCCCACAGTCATGAAAGGCCAGGCGAGGAGATGTGTGCCTCGATGTGAATGATATTGTGTTGGCCACACCCAGCCAATAACATGACCATCAAGCCACGCCCACCAACTAAGCCACACCCACAGAACCAGTTGTTAAAAAAATTGAATCCCACCCCTGGCCAGGATCCTTTTTAAAGAAAGGAATAATTTTCAACTACATTGAGATTTGGTTTTTTTTATAGTGAGTTGACATCAGGATTTTGTTTACCCTCGGCTGTTGATTAAATCAAAGTATCTCAGCTTACACAAATTTGCTAGTTGCAATAATACAAATATAACTCCACTCTTGTTCTCAGCTTAATTTAGGTAGATTAACATAAATAAAGAAGTGTCTGGCTTATATGACTAAATTCTTGGAAAATTCAAACACGAGACATGTTCCGAAAGTCATTCATATTTTTGTCCAGATTATCACTACAGATCTATAGAAAAGGCTGTGGCTTAATTTTGAAAAGTGGCAGGAATGTGATTATTCTTCCTCCTTTACAGCTCAGAATTCTGTGATTTTATCAAAAGTAGTTGAAATGAAGAGACTGCAACTGCCGACTTCTCTCTCAGCTTCCAATTCGAAGGGACTCAAATATTATGGAAGAAACATTTTCCATTTCTCATAGACAGATATCTTTTTCAATTATAGCCCGAATCTTTCAATTGTTAGGAGCTTCTGATGGAACTTTTGTAACTAATTATGCAATGTGACCTTGCTACCTTTGACTATACGAGCACTACAAGATTTGCCTGTTTGGCCTTTAATTGATAGTTGTACTGACTTTTATTTGAGATACTTGGTCTCTGATGAAAATGTGTATTTTGTGAATGCAAACTGCTAGTGTAAAGCCTCAAGCTAGGCATACCAACTATAGGACGGTGCTAAGGAATTTCTGAGAGATTCCAGGAACTAAAAGATAGTCACCAGTTAAAGGGGGCAAAGGACTTATCCCAATATTCAAAAATGCTAAGTTTGAAAGAAATGTATTGTATGCATTTGTTTTGCCCCCTTATCTCTAGTCCAAAGAAAATTAAAAAAAGGGGGAACAAATAGTGAAAGGGTTAGAAATCTTCCCTTAGTGCTTAGTATTTCTGTTGTCTTTCTTCCAACAATGTGTTGTCTGGATTAGTGAGGTTTTTTTTGCCCACTGCTAGCAATAGAGAATAATTCATGGAGGAAAGGTAACATCAAACAGGCTTTGGCATTAGCGTTTCTCCTTTAGAAATTGATTCTTTCTGCCATACGCTTAATCTACCACTCAATCAATTCTCTTGTCTGTTTAGGAACAGTATGCCAAACCTGATGGAACAGTCGCTTATTTCTGCTGGGGAGAACAGAGTGCAAGTCTTGAAAAACATGCCTTTAAATATTGTCCTTCCACACAGTTCCCAAATGGGCATTGACAAGAGGGGCCACCTGACAACCCCAGATACTACAGTCACTGCCTCCATTGCATCTATGCCCACCCATTCAATCAAGACAGAAACGCAATCGCACAGTTTTACTGTGGGCATCCCTCCAAACGTCTATCACCCAGAAGCACCGGAGAGGGTGGTGGCTTTAGATCGGAGCCTCAACACCGACCAGTTTAGCACCAACAGCCAGCCTCAAAATTCCCAGCGACGTACTCCTGATTCCACCTTCTCAGAGTCTTTTAAAGAAGGTGTGCAAGAGGTACAGAAGTAACCTGCATCCTTTGCTTATGGGGTTCTTAGCCTAGAAATGGGTCTTCTGTAGTCATGAAGAAAAGCATTATAACATAACATTGGAACGTGATCTTGGGCCTTCCAGAGACTTATGAAAATGAGTTCTTATGACCATACAAGTAATAAAACAGTAAAAGTATCAGAATTTTGTTAACAGAATAATAGATGAGAATAATTACAAGAAGTTTGATGTAACAGATGTCATCCTTTGTTCCTGCTCATTGTTCAGACTCTGCTAAAGACATTCGTGTAGGATAATCACTATAGATTCTGAATAAACATAATTAGAGATTATGTTGGAAAAAGATTGAAAATGCAGATCTTAGAATTTTGGCTACGAATGTTGAATGTTGACCAACTTAAAAGCAGAGCCTAACTCCAGCTCTGAGAATAAACAACAATGGCATTCATTCTCCTTTTCCCTCTGATTTTGAGTGTACTCACTAATCTGCACATGGATATCAAGTTCCTATTTAATTCTTATGTAAACCTGAAATTTCAGTCCAGTGGATTAGAAATAGAAGATTTTTTTCCAGGCTGGATATGGGTATATAATTCTAAATTTAAAACAAAAGCAACTTCTGTACAGTATGCAAGAGAATATGGCTCACCTTACAGGACGTGGCTCACTCACCTTGAATGTGACCAAATTATGTTTGTGTGATACATGGGTTACCTTGGTCCTAAACCAAGCTTGTTTTGTATCTGAATTATGGGTGTCAGCAAATAGTCTATTGATGATAAATTTAGTGCTGAAGTACAATATAAAAATGGCTCTTTGTCTGAAATCTTAATGAATACCTCCAGGTTTTTTTCCCTTCTGAGCTGAATCTTCGGATGGCCAACGTGAATTCTGAAGACTATGTGTTTGAAAGCATTACTGGGTAAGTGTATTTTCCTGCAAGTTTAGCTCTTGCACAACAGCTGGGTTCCGATGCTCTGCTCTGCTTGTCTTGGCACATCTCACATTTGCTCAGACTTCTTGCTCATGCTCTCCTTTGTGAAAGGAAATACTGAAGCCCCGAGTGGTGAGATTTGGCCATTCCGCCCCTAATCCTTTCGGAAATATCACATGAATCAGAACACGTACACAAGAATGTGCCTAGGTAAAATGAGGTACTTTTCCGCACCTGGATTGAAACTTGAAAGTTTGGCATTGCAGATTGTAAAGCAGTGGTGGCCTCGCAACGAAAAGCAGGTGAATTAATTTTGAGTCTGTGGAAGTGTATTTCATTGCTCTTTTGGTGTACCACAGAAAGTGAGCTGTGAATCAGAAAATGCTTCTACCACAAATGCATTACTGCGTCTTAGTGCTCTTTTCATCCCTTTAGTCACAGTGTTTCAAAGTTGGGGGAGAGTTGAGAGTTTCATTTAATCAGACAATGAAAATGAAGTGCTTTGAAAGCATTGTATAAATCTTATTATTTTATTCTTATTACTTTCAGTGCAGCATTTTTTTTCTCATGCTACACAAATATAAAGTACTGTAACCCAAGTGTAGATTAGTGAGTGTAATATCTTCACAGCTGTTGAGCAATCGAGAGACATCAGATGTTTAAATCAGAGTAATAAATTCTAGATACTTCTGGTGGCATTTTTTAAAGTCTGCAAATCCTCTGCCTCATTCCTAAAATTATGAGAGTGGATTTTGGTGATGTCACCTTAAATTTCCAATCCTCCTTTCTTTTCTCACGTATCTGCAATTTATGGTCACTCTCACCATTTAGTCTTCAGATCTAATATCTAGCACACTGGGATTGTTATGTTTGGATGATTTCATGAAATAAGTTGTTTATAAAACTTCCTGTTCTTAATTTTTCTAGGAACAACTTTGAATATACATTGGAAGCTTCAAAATCACTTCGGCAGAAGCCAGGAGATAATACGATGACTTATCTAAACAAGGGACAGTTTTATCCCATTACACTGAAGGAAATTAGTGGTGGTGAAGGAATCCATCAACCGATCAGTAAAGTTAGAGTGAGTTACAATTAAAGAAAGTATATAGGGGAGAAGCTAATGGCAAAGGCTTGTAATAGTATTTCTGGTGTGCAAAATGGGAGATAATTTGTTTTGGATGTCCCAAACTTCTTATGGGCTACCCATAATTTGTAGAGCTACAAATAGTCCTTAACTGTTCTCAATTGACTTTGATCATATCCATCAATTTATTTCCCCTCTTTTTAGCAAGTTTTTCCTTAGAATATAAGGAAATCTATTTTGTTTGCAGTTTGGGAAGCTTTAGTGTTAATCTAAATTAACCCAGTTGTTTTTGGACCGGGTGTGTACAATTCTTTCTTTATGCTATTGAAAGCGGTTGTTAGGTAGATCAGGCTGACAAATAATTACTACCTTCTTCATTCATAATATTCATATACATCAAACACCTATCTATGAAAAAGTATGAAATCATGAACAATGACAAAATTTTGTGGCTGGGCTGGTTTGATTTTGCAAAAACATGCAATTGATTATGACCTTATAATGAACCAGACTTCCTCAGTGATACTTAGTAATCCACTTTGCAGGTGTTTTTTCTACCTTTCCCAAATAAATAGAGGTTCTTCTTTTCTTTTGGAAGAATGTAGGGAACATCTTGAAGTACCATTGAAAAGCAGAATGTTATCAGCCTATTTAACAAGAATATTCCTTTATTTTATTATTATGCTGCTTCCAAAACTATTCCAAGTTACAATTTCTTGAAATGTTATTACATTATTGCCTGAGGATTTTGACTTTTGCTGCTGTTGTTTAAGTCTATCTCCAGAACTTTATTTTTGAGCCTGTGAAGTTTTTGAAAGAAAGGTGTATTGCTGTTTTGAATAATCGATGGAGGAAGTGATTTGGCCTTTTCCCTGGTTTTCAGGCACCCTTCGTGGTTATTTCCTTGTGGCTGCGTATTGTCCTTCTCAAATCTGAGACACTTGTTCTTCTAAACCTGGAAAGTTCACTTCACTTGCACCTCACAGCCCACAGATACAGAAGGCAGAGATAAATTTCCAGAGTTGCTAGTCTTAAGTAGTGTCTACCTTTCAGCAAAAAACGGGTGCACACACAACTCTGCCACCCCCACCATATGGCTTTTCTGTTAATGAAGCTTTTCTGCTTTTCCCCCCTGCCTTTCTCTTTCCTCTTCTTTGCAGAGTGTCATCATGGTTGTATTTGCTGAGGATAAAAGCCGGGAGGATCAGCTCAGGCACTGGAAGTACTGGCACTCCAGGCAACACACGGCTAAACAAAGGTGCATTGACATAGGTAAGAAGCTCTCAAGCAGCAGGTGCCAAAACTCAACTTAGCAGGTTTCAGGTCTTGTGTTTGCTTGTGAGCTTAGGATCTTCTTCAGTCAACGCTTTCCATGGTTCCCAATCTTGCCTGTCCCTCTTTTGGAGTTAGATGGAAATCCAACTGCCCATCAGAATATCTCAGTTGGGAGAGAATTACAGATTTAAACAAATATCCCAACCTCTATCACTTGGTCAGTTGACCAACCAATCGATCAGTCAATGGGCCCATAGTTGAGTAACAGAAGTTTGAACTTGCAATGGATGTTAAAAGGAATCTCTAACGCTGAAAGCTGGAGAATGGTTCATTGGGTGGACTGTGTTTCTGGTTGCAAGGTTGCTCAAACAGAACTGGCTGTGGCTGTTACAGCTTTGTTCTGCAGTATCTGCCTATGTCAAGTTTACCGTATCTGAACATCGCAGAAATTTGAATAATTCTATTTTCTGAAGTTCACTAAGTGTTCAGTCATCGCCACTTAGGATACTCTTTTTCTTCTACCCCTCTTTCCCCAAATACCCTTTTTTTTTTCATTCTTAAGCCCCAAACCCCTCTGGCCTCAATGTTGCCTGTAGTTCATGCCATCGATCTTGGAGCCTCTTGGTTCTGTAAATGTATGGATCCGAAGTGGTGACTCAGTGCAGAGGCGAAAGGCACTCTTCACATGAGCAAAGCTGCTATTGCTTCTTAGTCAGAGATCCGAAACAACGCTTTGAAGTTGCAAAACAGGTTCCAAGATTGAGTCGCTGGCAGAAGTCAAGCCTTAGGTACAGTTTGGGCAAGGAGATGAAAGACGACATTACAGATACCCATTTGCCTACAGCCAAGCTGTGACTGGCCCATTTCCAGCTCCTTTGGTTTGAAGGCTGAGACGCAGTCAATCTTTTTTTCTCTCTCTTGTAAATAAAAGTGGGGATTAATGCTAAGCACTTAAAGGCAGACGCACATGCATATCTTCCTTTATTATGAGTTTTTATGAAGAGCAACATATCCTGGTTGTGCTGTCTGACATTTTTTAAAGGAGAATTGAAGGCATGACAAAGGTAGCAGGTATTTGCTATTTCTTAATTTCATTTCCTGCATTGGACGTAAATAAAAACTTAAAGGGCTGCCCAGAGAAACGTTGAAATTTCTTTTGTCTTCTCCAAGACAATTCAGAAGAAAAATGACTGTTCCCCTAATTTGGGTCTGTGTTTGTCGGTCAACTAAGTTATTTTAATATATTTTCCCTCCTTTATGTTGTCAACAGCTGATTATAAGGAGAGCTTCAACACCATAAATAATATTGAAGAGATAGCCTATAATGCCATCTCCTTCACTTGGGACATTAATGATGAAGCAAAGGTAAGTGCCAGAGCTCTTCCTTCTGGACACTTCTGAGTATTAATGGAAGAAAGGGAAAGCTTAAGTTGAGAGCCAGTTATGTCTAGTAGGTATGGTACCAGACTAGAAACAAGGAGACTGTGAGTTCTAGTCTCGCCTTGGGCATGAAAACCAGCTGGTGACTTTGGGACAGTCTCTCTCTCTCTGTTTTTGGCCTATGGTGTCAGGCTTGGGTGACAGGCTGATTGGCCAATTCCTGTCACAACCAATGAATCAATAGTTGGTTGGTCCAAAAAACCAGCACTGACATAGGTAAGAAGCTCTCTTGTGGGAAAACACGAGGAAGAAAACAAAAGTTAATCTCATAGCTCTCTTAAAAACAAACTATGATGAAATAGCCGCTAAAAGATTGTCAAAAGCTTTCTGGGAAAATAAAGTTTGAAGCTGATGAAAGCATCACAGCTTGGATTATGAAATGACCCTTTTCTGACTAGTTTTTTCCCTTGCCTCTGGATTTAGTCTGATCAAAAAAACGTGAATGAACAGGAGTCAGAAAGTGTACTAGGCCTTTTCGGTATTCTTCCAGCAGAAGACAAGGCGATTGGTTCAGCATCAGAGACTGCTGCTTCTGTTCAAACACATAGCTTTCAGTCATCTCAGTTTAAACAGAGGTGTGTTTGCAGGCTGGAACTTGTAGTCTTCTGCAAACAGTCCATCTCCTCCACCAAGTGTCCTTGCATGTCAATCGAGTGGAGTCACCTTTCATTTTCCATTTGCTCTGTGGATATCACTAGATAGGCTTATGATGATGTCACCAATGGAACTTTCCTTGTGTTTCTGTGTGGAGCTTTGAGGGAATGATGGGCAAACTTATTTGCCACTCAGAGTCTCCTTGAACAGACGGCCTATAAATTTAATACAAATAAATACATAAACAAATCATTCTCATATTTATTAGATGTTTAAAAGGGAAGCAAACTTTGATCAATGAACAATAACCAAAATTGTATTAGCCAAGAGTTTTCCAAGCCATCAGTTTGATCTCAATCGGCAAAATTTCTTGGTTCGTTCAAAATAGTCTCAACTTCAGCAAAAAAAAAGATATTCAGGATTATTTGAGATATTAAAAGAATTCTCAAATGATTCTGAAATAATTTCTTAGAATTTGCTCATGCTCATGATGGGCTTACCGTTTCTAAATTTACCAGGTATCTTAGGAGAATTCTAGATTCAAGTCATAGATGCAGCAGTGACCTAGGCCTTAACTGGTACCTGTCCAGGTACATTAGTCCCCAATTCCCATAAACATTAGCCAACATAGTCAAAGATCTTTGTTCATTTTGGCTGAATAGGTGAGTTGAAGGCCAATGTATGTGGAATGAATTTGGATAGAAAAGTCTGTTGTAATGTGTAATATGGGTCTTGTAAAGAACAGGTATAGATCATGGAAAAAGCAATAGTGGAAATGATCTTTTCATCAGGAATTCCCTTGGAGCTAATAGAATCCTGATCTAATGGGGAAGTAAACGTGTATAAAGTTACTATTTAGGTTTTTTTTTTAAAATACTCTCTGCATTAATAAACCTCTGGATTTGTCACTGGATTTCAAGAGAACTGCTTTCCTCCCTGAGGAATTTAGGGCTGGGTTATTTTCAAGGTCTGCCTCTTGCTAGAGATCAAAAAGAAGAACCTGTCTTGCAGGATTCTGTATATCCCTCTATTTAGGAGAGTTGCTAAATAATTACAAAAAATAGCATCCTGAATATGACCAGTATGCCAAGACTTTCTGGGCTAGTAATTCTAGCCTCCTTGTGTGTATATATCTATGTGTACATATAGGGGAATATGGAGACAGCCTTGAGGGAAGAAAGCGTTAAATAAACATCAGTTTAGCCCTGGTATGGTAAAGAAACACATGATAATCCTGACTTGATTCTGTTTAGTATCAGAGAGAAACTCTGACAGGTTTTCAAGATTCTCTTGCTATTATATCCTAGAGTATAAATAGAGTTCCAGAATACCTTGTATTTCCTGTTTCCTCAGCTGCAATACCTGTAACAGGTGTACAAAAAGGACTTCAACATTTCAAGATGCATTTCTGTCTGCATGTGTGTTTGGAGGGTGGGGGAAGACGGCTGCTGTTTCAAATGCCATTCCTCATTTTCTCTCAAACAAAACAAATTTTAGCATAGCTTTATATTGGAAAGAATTCCAAAAGCCATTTCTGTGTCTTCTCCTTGCTGGTTTGAAATAAAGAAACATTGACAAAAACCTATAAGTGAGAAGGAGCAGCTAATTCTCAAGTACCACCAAGAAAGATTTGGAGTTGGACTACCTCGTAAATCAGGATCCCTTTCTGGATATGTAACTTTTTCCCCATGTTGATCTAGATCCTGAACTTAAGAGTATGGTTTCCATAGCAGTTCTAAACTGCATTCAGATCAAGAGTTATTTGTTGAAGAATTGAACATCACTGGGACTCCTTTTACACAAACCATAGCATTGATGGCAGTATATATAACTCAGAGGGTTAATTAGTTAATTAGAAGGAAGTCCTGTTTTCAATAGAGTCTATTCTCAACTAACAGTTCAATAGGATCTATTCTCAACTAATAGTTCTTAGGACTGCAATGTCAGTCTTTCTGACATTATGTAATAATCATAATCTGAAACCTGGATTAAAATCTCTGCTAAGTTTTGAATAATTCACTTTCTCGATATGTTGAACCACTTTCTCTCCATCTGTTCCCTTCATCTCTGTCTGCACATACCACTTGACGTTTGCCTTTGAAAGTATCTTAATAGATGGGTATATTTCCAAACAAAGCACTGGGTTGTTGCCATGTACTATATGTATTTTGCAAAATCTAGGGGTACCCTAGGCTTTTATATAAATAAACATAATGTCCAAAGTACTGGGTTAGAAAATGAGAGACCCTGAGTTCAAGTTCCGCCTTAGCCATGAAAGCCAGCTGGGTGACCTTGGGCCAGTCACCTCTCTCAGGGTTGTGGTTATGGGAAAAATTGGAGGAGGAAGGTGTGTTGGATATGTTCGCCACCTTGTTTCGTTTGTAAAAAAAATAATAAAGGCAAGATACAAATAAATAAAAAATGAATTAAAATCACATGTTAAAAGTTGGGTGAGGCAGAAGACTGAGCAATGTATTCCTTAACACAGGGGTCTCCAACCTTGGCAACTTTAAGCCTGGTGGACTTCAACTCCCAGAATTCCCCAGCCAGCTTTGCTGGGGGTAAACTTAAAGTTGCCAAGGTTGGAGACCCCTGCATTAACAGTCAAGCAAGGACATAAGAAAAGCGTCTGTTGAGTATGTTTCCTGCCCCCCCTGATTCCCCCCCCCATTTTGAGAATCACAAGATTGTTGCCCTTTTCTTAGCTGCACCTGACAGATGATCTGGGCAAATGTTCAGAAGAGAGGAAATGGAAGGCTTTCACAGTTGAATTTGGCAGGGGACTCTTTAAGGAAGGATTTGTGGGCAGAGGAGGTGATTAGGGGATGGGCATGAAGCGGTTCCAAATCTTTATTGCTAAATAAATATTCCCTCCTCATCAGGTAAAGCCTGGTGTGTTTATCCTTCTAGTACGTCAGCATATACTGATGCTTAAAATGGCATAATTATGAAGAAGATCTCAAATGCCAACGTTTCCTGCATGGTGATCTCTAAAACATGGTATTAATCTTTATTGCACTTTTAAAAAGTGAACTACTTTTTAAGGGATAATTGAAATTTGGTAGTCGTTGGAGCCCACGTTGAAAGAACCATCCATTTGTTCCATTTCTGTCCCATGCAAATTCACCTGGTGTGTCTCTTAAATAATCCTTGAGAACAGGTAGAATGAGCCAAAGGCTAGCAAACAAATAATTGATCCTGATAGGTAGCTTCAGGATGTTTGAAAACTTCTAAATGCTGGTAGGATATGCGAGTGTTACACTGTAAGTTGATAGTGGAGAGAGCATCGGCATCAATGACCAAAAATGTACATGTCTTACTGCAATTCTATACATACCTATTCAGTTAAACACCATTGTACATATTATTGGCTTATTACCAAATTGGGGGTGGTGGTACAGATTTGCAGGTGGACAGTCTAATCCTAAATTGTGTGTGCATATGAAAGAGAATGATCTGTAACATGGCCAACATCATTCCTGTGTTCTTTTGTTTCACGTCAGCTAGAATGAGAGCTAGCAGGTTGGTGGATAAGGATGAGATATTGATCCAGAGCCTTTGGGAGAAATGAAGGGGTTTGGGCTCCATGTCATCAAGGTTGCCCCTCATGGTGTCCCAGGAGCAATCTGTCAGTTGCTTACTACCTGTCAGGTGTGAAGAGTCAGGACTACACATTAAATTCGAGTTAAGCTGATTTATTGTTCGTGCCTGTACACAAGAATCTAGTCAACTAATGTTCAGCACTAAATTGGCTAAAGAGTTAATGGAATTCAAGAGGAGTTGGACTTAGAATGCTTGTGTTAACATAATAATTCCAGGCTAATTCCTCTCTTGACTCTGTCCTTGGGGTCTCCCTTTCCTTTTCCTACACTACCAATGAACATGTTGGTAGCAATTCTCTCTCCTCAGATGTTCTGTAGATATATTGATACAGTCAAAGGGCATCGTTATATCATCCTAATGTCCTTAGTTGAAAGAATTAAAATAGCTGTTTTTTAATCGTGAAATGTGTATATTGGAGTTCTAAATACATAGGTTGGCCTAATTGTGAAGATTTGTAGGAGCAGTCCATTGCTTCCTTTTAGGGGAAATATGGCCTTCAGAAAAATATGATGTTGTTAAATATCTTTTCCTACTCTCTGTTCCCAGAGTTTGTAGAAAATATCAGTCATCCTTGGCTGTATTTTCTGGCTGGGAATTATAAGAATTGTGATCGAATAGTATTGGGGTTAAAGTGTTAGGAAAGACTGCTGCAGAACAATCATGAATATTCCTCTTTTCCATCTCAACAGGCCGAAGTATTTTTTTTTTAAGGATTCTAATTGAATTTGATCTTACAACATTATCAAATAGCAGGAAGCAAAAACTGATTTCCCATAACTATTTTGGATTGCTGTGTTTCTTATTTAATCTTTTCCTCCTCCTTCAGAGAGAACAGATTTGACAGCGATTCTAGATCAGATTACTGGCAGACAGAGCAGCAATTCTTTCTTAGCACTCTGGTCTTATCAGGAAGAGATCTAGCCAATTTCCACTATTTTTATTACATGGTTCATTTGACTGCTCCATTTATTTTTAATTACCAGACAAAGACTTTTATGTGGTGCTGTGCACAGGGAAAGCAGAGAGAAAAGCTGAGTTTAAGTGAGGTCCTTAGTACATTTCTTGTGTGGTAAATCAACACAGCAAGTTTTGTATTTAAAGGATATTATGAATTGGCTCCAGAACCATCATTTAATTTGGAGAAACTTCATTTAACACCATTAACTTAGATTGGCACAAATGTGTGGCAGACATGAATTCAATGGTGTGTTGGAGATGAGTGGAGGAACCGGTTCAGAAATAAAAAGATAAGCAGTCCTTTGAGATGAGCTTGATCTCTGTATAGGTTATTGGCAACCATCTGGAAATGGTTTTTCATTGCCTCCTTCTGAGGTGTTTATTTCAGACTTCTCAGCTTAGCCCTAATGATCTCCCACCCAAACACTAAGTAAGTTACACTCCACTTTGCCTTTTCAAGATTAGTCAAAGTCAACTAGGTAACATGTGCTACAAAATGGAGAACAAAACGGAAACAGATATAATATGAATTAATTGAAGGACTTACTGAGAATAAAAAGAAACCAGGAAAGATAAATGATGGTCCATAGGGTAGCTTACTCCAAGACAGTATCCTTCAGTTTTATAGCCAGCACCAAGTTAGGAAAAGCAATTGAGTAAAAATAAATACAAACATATTTGTAGCCTGGTTCTTAAAGTAGTATACAGTATTGATACTTTTTCATTCTCCTTCATTCTCCTCAACTATTCCCACTTTTCTCATTATAAGATTAGTATTTCATGGCCATTTGGCATCTTGCAGCAAATTATTACTTCATCATTTTGTAGTGGGTTTGAAAACAAGCACACAGTACTGTACAATCATTTTTCTAAACATAGTTGCAGGTTTCCAAATAATTAGCCTTAGGGGTATCTTGTAGCAATAAGCCTCTAAAAATGTATTGAGCAAAAGCTAGCTTGTCTTTCTCCTTGAAATGTCTTCTGTTGTGAATTCTTGAGTGGTGGGCTCCTTAGCTTTGTTAGCTTCTTTGTAAAGTTATGAGTTAGGGTTAGAGAGATTAAAGTGCTGAAATATATGCCATCACAACTGTTTATATCTATCTCATAAGAGAAATGAAGCTATTACTCCAGATGATTATTATCATCGGTTTATCACCGTCAAAATTGTAGGTGTTGTTTTGTGTTCTTTTGCCCAGCAGAGGGTGTGTGCACATCAAAAGACCCTTCCTGGAAAAGACCATCACACCTGCTGAAAACACAGACTGGAAAATTCTATATCATGGGGTACTGCAAAGTGCCATAAATGCAAGCGGTTGCAGAGTGCCCAAAATGCAGTCATATGATTGGGAGGGGGGCGACTCAGATATGAATTTGAATTGGGGTTCTAAGTAGCATTTTCAGAGTCCATTGTAACTTTGAATGGTTGCAAGTCGAAGACTATTTATATAAGCCAAATTCCATTCCTTAGTGCAAAGCTTGTAAGGGGAAACCCTCCTACCCATACACACCATATTAAATAGTGATTATATCACGAAGAGAGCCAATTTAAGGCATCAGGCTAGAGACTTGGAGTTCTATTCCTGCCTTAGTCACAAATCCAGCTGGGTGACCTTGGGTCTGATACTCTCGCTCAATCCTAGGCAGAAGAAGGTCATGGCAAATCACTTGTGAAAATCTTGCCAAGAGATCTGCAGGGACTAGTCTAGGCAGCTGCCAGAGTCAACACTGACTCAAAGGCAATCCCCATCCAAAGGAGAAGAAAATAGGAAGGAAGGAAGGAAGGAAGGAAGGAAGGAAGGAAGGAAGGAAGGAAATAGAGGGAGCGGGTGAGAGAACTCTGAATAGTAACTAAAATGAACTACACATAACAAAACCCAATCTCTAGTTAATAGAAAGAATGATTACTATGGTAAGTATAAATACCTATGTGGAATTCCTACACTTATAAGTCATTAAATGTATCCTATAACAGAGTACCATATCATCTTATTTTTAGAACCTAAATCCTTTTCAAAAATAGACAACAAATTAATATCTTGGACCCATTCCTTAAAATAAGGAAGGTGAATTTCTTCTCTAGCTACTTAGAATTATCCTCTTTGTTGTACCTAAGACTTAAAAGAGTAAAAGTCTGCATGAGATAGCAAAATGCACAATTTAGGAATGTAGTTCAATATCATATTAAAATCCTGAAATATATCTATTTCCAAAGTTATATTAATATATGTATTAATTTGAAACCAAAACAAAGCTGTAACACAGTAAGACCAAATCATGTGAGTTAAAAGAATGTTCAGATTTCTTACATCGACAACCTGAGGCAGCTACTGACCATTCCTTTTTAATCATTTTAAAATAATATTTTAACTTTTAAATCATGGGGGATATATCTCACATTTTTAAACACATGGACCTACTGATTTCCCAAAATTTTATATTATAATACAAAAATCAGGTACAGAACAGAGACAGATTGGACAGAACAGAGACTTTCCTTTCCCCTGCCTTTGGGCCCACTATCACTTCTTCCAAAAACTCCTTTTCTTGGCATGTGGTAGTGAGACTTACTAGTTCTGGCAACTGATAGAATTAGGCATCATCATCCACAAATCTTATCCTCACTGTTAGTGTTTCTCTCTTGATTATCATGGTATTCTTAAACCAGTTACTTCAGACTGGACAAACTATGGCAGATTGGACAAAGTCAGGCAATAGATTGGCTAACTGGTGAATTCTGGGAGTTGAAGTCCACGTGCCTTAAAGTTGCCAAGGTTGGGGAAATCAGAAGTAGGGAAAGAGGAGACCAAGGATTCTGAGACAGTGGAACACAATTTATTTATTCCTTGCAGCCCAGAAGAAACTTCTCTTGGGTTGGCACAGAGACTCAACACTCTGGCTGTGTGGGAGAGGGCAGGAAGAAAAGGAAGGGACTCCTGTTTAAGAGGCATTGTAGCCTGATATAGAAAAACCTCTTATTTCTCACCTCTCCTTCCTAGTAGCTGATCTATCACTGTAACCTTAAAATGAAATAAAATGGAACTGGCTTGTATTACCAATTACCAATGGGGCTGAAGTGCCCTTGCAGGCACATGCCGATGTGCAAAGGCTTTCAGAATCACATGGAAATCTAGAAAGCATGTGTGAACTGCTAAGATGCTAGAAGTAGCTTAGATATCCATATCTTCCTGGCCAGTATCACTGATCTTATACAGGTGACTTGCTGTCTTAGGGACGAATGCATCATCCAGACAAATGGCTTTAGTGGATTATTTGCATTCTCTGGAAAACTGATTGAGAGTCACCTAAAAATGGTTGGAAAAGCCTGCAACCACAGATCTTACTTTGCTTGTTGTCCCAGCCTTGTGTTTATCTGTTACATTTGGTAACAGTTAACAGTTTTATAATTTCCTACAGTTTTTTCTTATCAATGCAATGTTGAGTCTCTAAAGGTACATTCAGAGGAACCAAAGGACATGACATGGCCCAGTGGACTGGCCAAATAGCATCTTTGTTGGGCTGTTGGGTGTAAGATTTTGGCAACTGTCCAGGGCTACCAAGTACTGCTCTTGGTCCTGATTAGAAGAATTCAAGTATTCTGTGGCACAATGGTCATCCACAGCCACCTGTTACATAGGCAAGTCCTCGACTTATGACCATAATTGAGCCCCAAATTTATGTTGCTAAATAAGACATTTGTTAGATGGGGTTTTCCTCATTTTACGACCTTTCTTGCCACAGTTATTAAGTGAATCAATGCAGGTGTTAAGTTAGTAACATAGTTGTTAAGTGAATCTGGCTTCCCTACTGGCTTTGCTTGTCAAGAAGGTTGCAAAGCTGATCACATGACCCCAACCATCATTATGTATGAGTTAGTTAGCAAGTGTCTGAATTTGATCATGTGATCAGGGGGAAATGGTGCAATGGTCATGTGTGTGAAAAACAGTCATAAGTCACTTTTTCAATGCTGCTGTAATTTCGAACAGTCATTAAAGAAACTCTTGTAAGTCGAGAACTACCTGTACATGTGGATGCATTCGTGGGAAAGCTCCAACCAGCCCTTGGCACAGGATGGGTAACTCCCTCTGTGTCAAAAGCTGCAAGTTTTGACTTGTTGGCAGGCTGGACGAGATCTCCAGTGATGGGGTGACATCACTAAATAAAGCAGGCCTAATATTTTCTTTTCATCATTGTGACTACTGAAAGGTAGAAATTGAAACAATTCCAGAGGTAGGTATTCAGCAGGTTCTGACCAGTTCTGGAGAACTGGTAGCGGAAATTTTGAGTAGTTTGGAGAACCAGTAAATACTACTTCTGGCCGGAGATTTTACAGTATCCGTCCCCTGCCACGCCCACCAAGCCACACCCACAGAACCGGTAGTAAAAAAAAAATGAATCCCACCACTGAATAATTCATCTCACAGAGGACTTCTGCTCCAATTTTCATTTGTATTCGACGTTAACTCAAAAATTGTACTGATAAAATTTAGCTATTTTACTGATCAACGGGGCACAGTTTGGGAGTTTTTATTAAATGGAGGGTCGGAAGCAATGTAACTTCTCAGAGGCTTTTTGTTTTCATTCTGGCCTTGACCTTGGCACCAAAGCACCAAACTGCTCTCAAAATACGTCCATTTTGAGGATAGGTTTCAGCAGTTCAGTCTCCAGAGAAGCAGATAGGATGCTGGGAGCATCACGTAGGATTCTTTTAAAAGTAAAAATGGAGGAAAGCAGCTCAATTATTACAATTAATATATTGATTATATTAATGCACTCCTTTAGATTATGAGGTCACTTCTGTAAGGATGCTTTTTTTTCTCGTGACATACTCAGTCGCTTGGATTTTCAAAATAAGGTGTTGCCCCTTTTGTCTGCATAACCAGTTTGGCTAGGATGAAACTAAATGAGAGTCATATGGATGACTCAGTCACACTTGGCATTTGTGATAATTCAGACTATAGCACAGGCGTTAGCAGTTTTCTACACGTTTCCTTCAAAATAAATTTTAATGTGTTCAGTGGAATGTGCTGAGAGTAACTGTGCTGAGGGTTGCAACTTCTTGTTCCTTCTTCCTTGTATTTGCAGCTCGCAGCCTTCTGATCATTGCTTGATCTTTGTTGCATTGTTCCCTCCTTTTCCTTTTCCATTTCCATTTGGGGATGTTATTTTTAAAAAAGAAGATGAAAGTTTCCCTGTCCAGCCATGTCCGGCTCTTAGGGTGAGGTGCTCATTTCTATTCCTTGGCCAAGGGAACCAGGGTTGTCTGAAGTCAATTCCTGGGTCCTGTGGCCAGCATGGCTATATACTAGAGGCGCACTGAACACTGATACCTTTCCACCGAAGTGGTACCTATTAGTCAATCTATTCTCATTTGCATGATTACGAACTGCTAGGTGTTAGGCCCAGGTTTTATTAGATTGCTCTATCCTAATATGTTTTATGGGTAATCTGTTATGGCATTTTCCAGCTAAAGAACAAGTAAAAACACTTCCACATGCAAAGCAGTCTCTTCTTACTTGCCTAGGCTTACAGGTAGAAGACCTAACACAAAAGAAAAATGGGATGATGAGGGAAAAGGAAAAAAACCCAAATTCTGCCATAGTTATAATACAGCAATCAGCAGCCATCTGGAATAAAAACAGTTGAAGAGCCATATGAGTTGACATCTTAGCATTCAATGAAATGACCTGTTATCTTCCCAGTTTCCTCTCTAAAGTATTATCTAAGCCAATCTTATGAAATGGCTGCTGCTCTTCAAACTGAACCACTAAAAATCCTTGCTTATCATTGATCTCTCTGTGTGGAATTCTGTTCTGCTGTTCTGAATCTCTACGATGCTTTAATAAACAAAAGGCAAAGTGCCCTATTGGATGCATGTCTAATTATTGGGGATGACAAGCAATAGGAAATGGATAGCTAACCACAGTGTGTTTAATTAGCTAAAGCTAGTTAACGTTTAGCTTTCATAACTTTGCTGTTCTAAGATAATGAAGATGTATGAGAAGCTGTGATTTAACTAGCTAGTAGCCTTTTTTTTTCCATTACAAGGCACCTGTGTGTGCTTTAATTCTGCTCTAACTGCAATAGGCTCCAGCCAATGTAATCCCAAAAATGAACACGATTTATAACTCCTGCCACCAAAGCCAGGCAACCCACTTCTGTTCAGGTTTACACCAGAGAAGACTTGTTTGAATTCAGTGAGGTTTAATATCTGTGAAAATATATGGCACCGTTTCAATCATAACACATCAAAAGTGTTTACCCAGAAATCAATCTTGGGAGTTCGGCATGACTTACTGCGTAGGATGTGTGCATAGGATTATCTGTATATATATGCAATCTTAACTGATTGGTTTCCTGAATAAAGCTTGCAACCTTTACGTCAACTAAGAGTGAGAAACAGCCAGGCCCAAGGGGTGGATTCTGGCCCAGACTCTCTCCCATGGGGTGAACTTCATTTAAATTGGGGCAGGAGCCAAGCCCTGCCCCTCAGGAATGAGGCATCAGGGCTTTGAAGCCACTTTCTTCATTCCTTGAAACAGGCCTTGTAGTTCTTCCTTGCCCTGCAGGGAGGAGCACCTTTAAGGGCCAAAGCAGTTAGCTTCTACTGCCAGAGTCCCTGCTAGACCGAGTGCAGGATCAGCTGTCTGCACCTTCCTCCAGGGATAAAAGACAGGTGTCTGTAGCTGGGCTCCCCCCACACCCTCTGGCTTGGCCCAGATTATAAGGAAGACAAAGGAAAGGCCGTGCTTCACCCAGAGGTTTCCCATAAACTGTGTTTATTCACTCACTCTCTTTTCATAGATGACAACATTACTCTTAAAGTGTGGATTATATGAAAAGAATCTTCATAATTAAAGTTTATGTCAACAGGTCATGGCACTGGATTGTCAAATAGCTTGCAAGCTCCATTTTTTATAGGTTGTCTATCCTTCTTACTGGGAAACTGTTTGCCTGTCTCTGGAAGACTCCACATGGGTTTCCTCACTGTGAACCACAAACTTTGAGACAGGGGTGGGATTCAAATTTTTAAATAACCGGTTCTGTAGGCATGGCTTAGTTGGTGGGTGTGGCTTGGTGGTCATGTGACCGGGTGGACGTGGCTTGGTGGTCATGTTATTGGCTGGGCCTGGCCAACTTAATATCAGTCACATCGAGGCACGCATCTCCTCGCCTGTACTCTCATGACTATGGGGATGCTGCAACAGTCGTAAGTGTGAAAAATGGTCATGTCACTTTTTTCAGTGCCATTGTA